TCCTTAGATATTTTACGCCATGGGATCTATGTACTTTATCAGTTAGCTAAAGCGATTCTCATAGTATATAATTTTTATTTTAGTCTTCACTTATTCAAATATTACTTGAAAATTCAGACATTGATTCAGGTTGACATTCAACTCTAGTTGTCTAAATTTATTAGATTTAGTACTTAAACGTTTTGAAAATTTTCCTTTTTTTTAAATTAATTAACATTGAATAAATATGTCTATATTTGACTAAATATTAGTGGTCTTCATAAAGCAAAGAAACGAGTAAGCGGAGCTTTTTTATTCAATCCAGAACCTAATAAACATTTAACAAAAAAAACATTAATTGTCCAATTCATTTATTAGAAGATGAATGGTCAAATAGTTTCGATTCAAGTAAACAAATTAGTGTATCATCAAGACAAGTATTTCAAACAAATGAGAATTTCTCATAATTAAACTAATACATTCAGAAAATTCCGACGCATTTAACAACTGAAAGAAATTGGAAATGCGTGTGCTCATAAACACTAGTGCTTCAATAGAAAGATTATTTATCTCAGCTGGATTGACATTTACTGAATGATGAATACGTTTATCATCAAATCTAAACTTTCAAATATATTATTTATTCTTTCTTGTTGTCTATCTATTAATATTGATTACATTTCGAATAATTAATATCTCAAGCTTATTTTATTCAGCTTATGAGATAGCATGGTGACCAAATATCCTGACTAGTTTGTTTTTTTGTTGTGACTGTAGTGGTATATTAAATCATGGGAAAAACGAACAAAATAAGAACTATTCTTTGGTTCAATGGGCGTAGCTATGAGGAAAGTAAAAATGACTTCTACTGAATTACTTTTAAAGTAATTCAAAACTAACTGTATTGAAGCCCGAATGAAAATTTAATAGATGAAGAATTCATACAATTGTGCAGAATTCTATAATCATTTCTAAAGTTATCAAGATAACATAGAGTACAAAAGTCTTGATACTAATTATTCCTTTATGTATTGCTGAGTTAAACTTGCATTAATTGATGTTTGTACAGAACAAAATCAATATTTTCGTCATTCATAATTTATGTAAATTTATCGTGCCATAGAATTTCAGTCCTTTTTTTCTGCTATGTGAATATGTAATTAGATAAAGGATTTTGTAGAACTAACTTCATGATATAAAGTTAGGTTTTGAGTTGAATAACTTTTAGCTAAAATAAAAGAAAAAATGAGCCACATGAAAGTTTTGTATTGATTTCAGTTTGGGGTTGTTTCAAACATCTGCTTATATTACAGAAAGTTTGAATTAGAAATAACTCATGAGCACAGATTTTCAAAACAAAATGACCTGAAATTCTAATAAACTGTATTTTCGAAATTCACTATTTTCTCTATTAAATATCTAAAACAGGAAGGATCAATATGTTGTAAGCCTTTACAGTAGAGGTTCTGATTTTAACAAATTTTAGTTTTCTAAAATATGAATTTAATGATCCTGATCTATGGTTGCCCACGAAGAAAAAACGCTTCAAGGTTACGTGCCATCGCGAAGCTGTTTTCTTCATTTTGGACAGTCGCAGTCTGCAAAAGCAGTATATAATCAGATGTTCGATATAATTCTTCAATAACGTGAATCACCGAACATTATTCAAGACATCATCAAAATTTTTCTTACTTTTTAGTTTAGATATTAAAAAGACAAGATCAATTTTTAAATAAAATCTTATCAAAAACTTTTACCATCTATCGAAGGACAAACATCAGATGAGAATAAGAAAATTTGACTGTCGAAGTATTGTTATTCCGAACCTTCGTTCTCCATATATCGAAATTTTACTGAATCTTTCATCATATAAACACGTAGTCCGCCTCAAATCATCTAGAAAATAGAATTTCGACTTTAAATTTTGTGCAAACAAAGTTCTTAACGATATTTGTTAATATGAAAAACGTCGAATATTCAATATCTCAGAATAGGAAAAAAAAGAACTAGAAAAGTTACAACTTGTCCAAGGAACTAATTTCATGTTCATGCAAAATTTGAATTCGAAAGTCGAGTTTTCATGTGATCTGAGTAGGACTACAGGTTTCTATCGAAAAATAACGAAAGCTCGGAAAGCAAAACCATTCTAAACTTTTCTATTACTCATTGAATGAACATCATCTCACTCGAAAAACATATTGTTGTTTCAAGTTGAAGTTTTATTCGTTCTATTTTGATTGATATGATCTATTTGCCAAAAGACTTCAACAATATTTTTTCAATTTCGACTTCATTTCTCTTTTTTTTTAGTATCCATTTACGAAACTGTTCCTCACTAGGATTCGTCGTTATTTATGCAATCCATACAAGAACGTAAGTTCGTTGAAAATTACCTTTAATTCTTTCATTTGATTTCTATACTTTTACCATGAATGTATAAACTGACAAAGAAATGACTATCTTTGTTTTCTCAAAACAGAAAACTTCATATGTGATTATCCTTTTTTGTTTCTTGTCGATGATTAATCTACTTTTCGTAATAATCTTCTGGAATACCATTTTTGTTCGTAGTGTTTTTTTTTGTGTAGTGATCAGATGTGATGCAAAATAAGAACTGATAATTGAAAGAAGAAAACAATGCATTTTTATGACAAATGAATGACTCATCTTTTATAGTATATGAAAAATTTTAGACTACTGTAGAAACATCCGTTGAAGAAATCGATTTTAATCGATCGTCAGAAGAAGTTGAGAACGCTTTGGATCATTGATCAAAGACATCATCGACGCTCAATAAATCAAAATCGAATGAAAAACATATAAGAAATAATTCATCTATTGTATCTAATATTATGTTTTTGTGAAACACGATCTGAAATGAATGTTGAAATATAAAACATTTGTGTAACTGAAACAATTCTCTATAAGCAGTAGCAGATCCAAAGATTCCAACAGAACTACTTATATTAAGACCTTCGAAAAAAAATTTTATTTTATAGAGGAAAATAGGGCGTCACTGAACTTTTCATGCACTCCTTTCATAGACTTGTTTTTGATCTACGAAGAGCTCGAAAAGCAATTCGATGAAGAAAGTTCATGGAGAGTTTGGAGACGTATCATTTTGCTCTGTTCAATAAAAATATTCTTCAAAACCTTCGAATAGATACAAGAAATCTGGTTATGGACGTCTTGATCTTCCGCAGATCCTCATTCAAGTGGTTTCGTTGAGGTCTTTGAGCCTACTTATCCTGATGAAGAACCCTTTTAGTTGCACATCTCTCTGTTGTATCAGAGACAATGACAGGTTTTGTTGATATACGGTCGAAGGTCGTATCTCGATATCGTCTAGTTAACTACTTCCTGATTGCATTTCTGGAGCATCAAGTAAATGAATGGTGAAGAAGTCTCTTCTAAATTAGACTGAATAAAATAATTTCCTTATCAATAGCAACATCTACTGCAACATGTTTCACAATTTAATCCCACACAAAATTCACTAGCAGCATTATTATTATATTTTTTGTTTATGAAACACCAAAACCTGATATTCGAAATATTATGATGGTAACTGCTTTGCGTTACATCAACAATGTACCTCATTTGAATATTCTTACTAGAGCTTTATTAAATGCTGATGTTTTCTTGTATGGTAAAATCAAACAATTCCTTATTCATCTTTTCATTGTTAATGCTAAATTTAAGGTATTGTCAGTTGAAAAATTACAATACTATGTATTTATGGTACTGACGAATATAGTACAGCAACTGGAATAAAAACATTGTTGGAACCGAAATATATACCACGAGAAACTTGCAATAGATATTTAGATTTACATTAAAAAATTTATAGACAGTTTCAATGATAACATTGAATAATTATATTGTGATAATTGTCAACGGTACAGAACTTGTTGGCATATTTTGTTCTAATTTTTTTTAATATATTCATGTATTTGAAGCTTTCGGGCAGATCATTATGTAGCTGGTACATGTGCAAATGCAACATACAAATTTGTTGACGTTTGTAGTGACCAATGTGATAAGTGTGTAAATATTAATTAATGATGTTGAACGTATTGATTTTTCGTTAGACTGCTCGAAATTGGTCAGCCTATGATCAATTGGTATAGAAAGTATCAATTATAAGTTCCTATATAAACACCAACAACATGTCGAGAAAACATTACAAAGATAGATGGAACATCGCAGTAAGTGCACTATTCAATGAATGAGACAACATCCTAGTCCTAAATAATTTATCCAAGGCTACGTAGTATAGAGGCGGATTATATCATAATAATCTATAGTTTAATGACAAGACCAGATGGTTTTGTTTCTTTAATTCCATTCTGTTAGACGGATAGATTTTCATTAGAAAAATCACAACTAGCTACAGGTTTTGTATGTTCAAAATGAACACTTTCAACAATTGTTTTGGACAGCGTGAAAATTATAAATACCAAAAATTGTTCATCATTATCTTCTGATCATTCTAGATAAAATAATCATAAATTTCAAAAATACAAACTTATTCGAACTATTTTAAACATGAATTCGGTTAATCTTTTTCTTAGTCGTTCTAATTTATCAATCATATTTTGATCACTTCGATTAAAATCTTCTTTATTTAACACTAATTGTAAGCCAGTTAATTTAGTAAGTTCACAAAGTTCTTTTATAAGTAAATGATATTTGTATTGGTCTACGTTTACCAACAAGTATCACATGTCGTATTCGACTTTTACGAAGTGTATCAAGTACTACAACATCAGTAACATGTGTTTTAGCTAAATCATCAATAGATGAAAATATGTATTTTGAGTACAATCAAGTTGTGATTGAAGTTGAATGTTTTCTGACACATCTATTTGAAATTGTTTTCTTTTATTATACTGACTTAAAAATTATTTTGCTTGGTTTTCATTTTGCCATTGTATCATTCACGAAAAATCTTTAGTAGAAAAAAAACGTTTTCTGATGTTATCTCATCAGCAATATTTAAATTACGTTGAATGGATGAGCTATAAGTAAATATTATAATAAAATTCTTGTGGTCCTTTCATATGCTCATGTTCAACTATTTTTGTAAATATATGTAGAACATTTTTTACTTCAAGATGATCAGATACAACATCATCATCTCGAACAAGATAAAAAAATGGAGGTAATTTTTCAATAATATCAATTGTTGCTGGCATTGTGTGACGAAGTGTAAGTAAATAATTAGATGGACCACGGCCTTCGATACAAATGAGTATGAATGATGAAGGTACTATAGAGTTGCTAGTAACTATTGAAAGTGATCATCAAATAAGACAATTTACAAAACAACGTCCATGAAAATGAATAAACATTTGACAAGATATTGAAGATACTTCTACGTAGAATATAATATGAAGAATAATTTGTATAAAAGTTTTCAACGTCTTATTTGTAAATATTCTTTCGTAAAGTTAAATATTTATATTTAGAATAAATACTCATTCTCAAATTTCCTAGTAAAGTTCTTATAACTCTCGTTTATAGTTTACATAGTAAGAAAAAAAATTTCTTGAATATTTAAATTCGAAGAAAATGAATGTAAAGTCACGAAACTGTCAAGATATTAAAGAACGGTTTTTATTTTGCTCTACGAATGAGTCTTCTCTTATTTACAACATTAA